GGAGGTTCAGCCAGGTGTGAGCCAACTGGATGCAGAGGGAGATGAGGCAGCAAAGGAGGAGAGGAGGGCCAGAGAGGAGCGGCCAGGTGGCAGCTGGCGGTACTCTCATGCTTCTGTGGGTTGACCGGGCTCAGCTGGGTGCTGCTTCTGCTGGCCTTGCTTAGGATCTGCTGCCGTCCGAGGGCAGCTGGGGTGGGGTTGCTCTGGAGTCCATCTGGGCTGCACGTCCAAGGTGGCTTTGTCATCACATGTCCGGTGCCTTGGTGCTGCTCCAGTGGCCTCTCTCCTCACGAGGCATCTCCTCCTCCAAGTCCTTTTCAGCAAGGTCATCAGGCTTCCTGCATGGCGGCGAGCTCTAAGAGCACAGAGCAAAAGCTGCCAGGTCTCCTCACTGCTTCACCCCAGCACTGGCACTACATTCTGTTAAGTAAACTGAGTCACGGGGCCAGCCCGGAGTCACTGTGGCAGAGGACTGCACAAGAGGGTAAACACCAGGCAGTGCAGTCCTGGGGGCTGGGGGCACCAGGGTGGGTTGGTTACAGTCACCCAGCTAGTAAGTTTCGAGCCAGGTGTGGCTCTGGGTCTGTCTGGTTCTGCATCCCATGCTCTGAAGTCTTAGCAGGTCCCATCGGCTGTTGAGAATGCGGGGTGGAGCAGGTCATGGTGGCACAAGATGCACATTCCAGAATCACACTCGTCGAGGACCTTTAGCCCTCCTGGCACTGTGTATGGTCACTTGAACAGCTACTGTGCATCGGGCCCTTTCCCTTCCTCCTTCCTCGTCCTTTCTCGAACGCCATCTGGGCCTTTCTTTTTCTGCAAACTGGGAATGCGCACACTTGCCCGGGGAAGCAGGAAGCACACGCACGGCTCCCATCAGTCTGCTCGTGGGTACATGCTCAGTCGGTGCTGGCTCATTTCCTGCCGCTCAGACCGAAGGGCAGCTGACCCAGGTTCCGGGGGCGAAATGTTGTGGCCAGGCCTCCCTGTGCCACCAGCCTGAGTGGAGCTGAGGGAGGGGCGAGGTGCACACCCTGAGACCCCAGCAGGCTGGCTGGGGCTCCCATCTTCCACCCCATGCTGGCCTGGGCTGCACCAGCATGTGACCTCACCTATCTTTCTCTTTCTTTAGCAAATGGAAAGGATCCTGAAGAAAGCGTCCAAAACCCACAAGCAGAGAGTGGAGGTAAGTCCTGTGCCCAGTGGGGAAACTGAGTCATATAGGGGCCCAGAGGCCAGCAGCCTGGCAGAAGGGCCACTGGAGTGTTGGTGGGGAGGAGAGTGTACCCAACCGGAGTGACAGCTCCCCAGGGCTCATTGAAGGGAGAGCCCAGGGTTCAGGAATCTCTGAGGCCTGGCAGAGTGGCCTTGAGAGGAGGGGGCGCCCTGAGGAAAGAGAGGACGTGGGGAAGTGGGGTGGCAGTGCCACACATCCCTGTGCCCTGCTTGGGGCTGTGCTGACGTGAGCTTTCTCTGCTTTCCCAGGACTTCAACAGACACCTGGATACACTCACGGAGCACTACGACATTCCCAAAGTCAGCTGGACGAAGTAGCTCCCAGCCCGGGACATGGAGTGGCATGGGGGGCAGCAGAGCGCCAAGTCGGGGTTATGTTTGGGGCCTTTGGTATTTTTTAGAAACATTCTTTTACACACACCATTGTGTCCTCTGCTGAGACAGTGCTTTTCCAAGCAGTGTGCCCTCAATCTGGACCTCAATTAAAGTAAGACTGTCCTTTTACTCTGTTTTGGTTTCTCGGTAGGAGATAGATCTTTTTAGCTTGGACTGGAAATTTTTGAGTTTATCCAGAGATAAGGGTGATTTCTGTGTAAGTGCCGTGGAAAAGTGTCTTTGCCCCCGAGTTGCATGTGACTCTCTTTGGCAGCTAGCCAGCTCTCTTTGCCTGGATGAGACCGACTCCAGAGGATGAGGAGTTAATGCAAGCGCGGCCTGCAATGTGCAGCCCCTCGGGGAGCCCTGCGTGGGCTGCCCCTACAGGCTCCCTCTAGCTTGGGGCTTATGCTGTTCCATCCAGGGCCGGGGAGGCCACATGCAGCTTCGTGGCCTTCAGACTGCCTCTTCAGCCACCTGGTGGGGAGACCTCGCAGCCAAGGAAGCAGAACAACCGCCTAAGGATGGAACACGCGCCTTGTCCCTTTCTGAGCTGAGCTGGTGGCCAGCATGCAGCCTCTTCCCCACTGTCCCCATTTCAGACATACCTGGTGGGTGTTGCCATGGCAGACGTTACTCACCCAGCATTCTTTGTAATGGAACCCGGACACAGCCTGCCTTGCTGCCCTCAACCGTGGCCTCTAAGCAGCCCCCCGTGTTTATTCGTAACATGAAGCCTATTGGGCATTCCTGGCCTAAGGACACCTCAGGGGTGACAGGACCAGGGCAGAGCCCTGCAAGGACAGGGGTGCAGTCACAGGGGAGGACCCAAGTTCTGTGCTGGAGAGCCAGGAGCTTTGAGGGCCTATGTGTACCCACCAGATGAGGATCAAGCTGCTTATGCACCTGGGAGAACCATCTGTGCCGACATAGATAGTGAAAGAATAACGGAGTCAGAGGACAGCCTGCTGTTGGGTTTGGGACTGTCATATGCGAACTGCAGAATAAAGCAAAACCAGTTATGAAATAGAAGCCTGAGTGTCTTACTTATAGGCTGTTAGATTCTCACTAGACACGCTGTCTTTTGGATTTATCCCACATGAAGAATATGCGTACTGCAAAACGACTGTTTGCCCTTAGTCTGGAAAAGATTGAATGACGCATTTCCACCTGTGGTTCACAACCCACCTGAGAGAGGTGACATACCCTCTCATTAGCAGTGGCTCCTTAGGGCAGATTCCCCCACTGTCAGGCCTTTGCCATCCCTGAGCAGTGGCCGGGTCCTGCGAGCGTGCTCTGGTGCTGGGAGAGCCTCTGTCAGTACGGTGAAAGATGGACCCTAATTCTCCTTGCCTAACCAACCACTCCAGACCCGAGGGGCTCACAACAGCAGGAGTTCTCTCCCAATTCTGTGGGGTGACACTGCTCAGCTGGATGGGTCTTCTCCATGAGGCATAGTTTAGTTCACTCATATAGCTGTATGGGCTTCCCTGGGGCCAGAAAGTCTGAATGGCATCTCATCCTCCAGAGTCGCTCTCCACATAGCCTGTTTCATTGGCCAACACAAGTCATGTTACCAAACCTAGAGTGTCAGGGAGCTGCACGAGGGCGTGAACACCAGGAGGTGGGGTTTCCTGGGGGCATCACTATTAGAATCTGCCACCGTGGTTTTCAATTTCTGCTGTATGTTGGACTCTCCTGGGAGCATTAGGAACCACTGATGCCACCTGCGGTGGGGTTTAGTCGTTGAGAGTCTTCAGAGCTTCCCAGGTGACCCTAATATGTAGCAAAATTTGAGAAACCCTGGTCTGCCACAATAGGTATGGTCTCCGATATGATGCGGAGGACAAATCTGGCTTACACCTTAAACATAAATGTCGAGGATGAAATTCAGATGGGACTTGAATTCTCCCACATGCTGAGAAAAGGAAGTTACAAGTAATTTCTGCATAAAGAGTGTTTACTGTGATGGTACTCTTGGCACTTGGGAATCTTTGTTTCCGCGAAAGACTTCTGCAATCTCTTCCTCCCAGCCTCCTTGATACTGTATTAAACATCTAAACAAAATGCCCAGAGCAAGCCCAAAAGGAGATGCTCTGTAATGAGAGAAGTCATCTTTCCTGGGCGGCTCTTCTTTTTGCCTTATAATCTTTGGCATTTACTCAATTTTTCTTCAGTGAGATGTATAGTTTTGTAATTAAAAAAAAATTGTTTTCAGGCTGGCCCCGTGGCCTAGTGGTTAAGTTCAGTGTGCTCCACTTCAGTGGCCTGGGTTCGGTTCCCAGGCACGGACCTACACCACTCAGCAGCAGCCATGCTGTGGTGGCCCACACACACAATAGACGAGGATTGGCAACAGATGTTAGCTCAGGGTGAATTTTCCTCAGCAAAAAAAAAAGACATGTTTTTCTAAAACGTTGCAATAAATTGTGCAAAGTATGAGGCTGAGTACAATAGGGTTTCTTACCCAACAAATGTCCAAAAGCCTCCCTTGGTTGCTTTGTGCAAGAATGCTTCCAGCCCAGGATGTACTTAGTAGTCTTCAAATATTACAGTTTTCTTCTCGGGATCTTCCTGCACCTACGTCTGTCCTAAGCAGAGGATCTATTGCCATCTTTCAAAACCCCAATGGGAGATGAGAGGGAAAATCAACAGTGAAAGCCAGGCAGCCTGAGTAAATGGTTCTGACACTGCAGGGTTGGGATCCCCACGGCACTGTAAAGGTTCATTGGGACAGAACGCAGGCATTTCTCCACAGCCCGAGTGTTCATAAAAGGAAATGAGATATTCAATTTATTAATCAGAGGTCACAATGTGCGTTAGCCACAGTGGCCACTAACTACAGAAATGAAACACGTGCTTTTCGCCTAAGTTCAGTGGAGCGTGGTTTTCAGATCAATCCAGGCAATAAACAGCCACGCTTGTTCACTGACAAAGGGTGACACTGACAGGTGACAGGTAGTGACTGTTGATAAGGCTTGATTACCATTCAGAGTTTGACCTCTTTCCGAGTAACTACCACCTTACCCCCCCCATTGAGCATTTCACAATGGTGGCTGTATATGTTTGTTTCCCAGCCTCCCCCACCAACTATGAGTTCCATTGGGCTGAGCCCTAGATGGGTTCCACCACCGGGATCTCCCACCTAACTTGGCCCACAGTGGGGTTTCCAGCTGCCACGGCTTCGTCGCGCAGCCGGGCAACTAGGGGATGCCCGGCTTCAGTCGGCCCGGCCCGGCCCCGCTCCGCCCCGCCCCTGTGGATCTTACTTCCGTGATGCTTGAGGCGGAAGCGGGAAATTAGAGCACATTGGACGTACTGCGCCTGCGCTTACTCCGCCCTGCGCCTGCGCACTCCTGACAGCTCCTCCCCGACCGGACCTAACGGTCCGCGCGCGGCTCCTCGGACCGGAAGTGGAGGCGAACTGTCGCGGGGCGCGCGCGGCCTTGCTCAACGCCTGGCGGTTGCCGCCGCCGTCGCCGCCGCCCTCGGCCGCTGCCGAGGCTTCCCGCAGCCGCCATGTCTGCCAGCGCCGTCTACGTGTTGGACCTGAAGGGCAAGGTACGGAGGGCTCCCCACCCTCCCGGTTGCCAGGCACCCGCGGTGGCCGCGCCCCGTGGGGACCCACCCTGTTGCTAGGTAACCGGCCAACGGGACCCACCCTGGCCTTAGGTGAGGAAGCGATCAGCCTCGCCTGAGGGCCCCACCCTGTTGCTAGGTAGCTAGGCAGGGTCTTCTGTCCGCTAGCCTGCCCGGTTGCTAGGAAACGCGGTGGGCTGCCGCCGTTGCCAGGTAACCGGCTGCACGACCCCCGCACCCCGCGCCGTGGGCCGTGGGCTCGGCCCTGGGGGCCCCGGAAGCCCGAGGCGGCGGGGAGGGCGGGCCGCGGCCGGCGTCGGAGCCGTGCTCCTCTGGCCCGAGGTGGCGAGGCGTGACGAGGACAGGGTGCCCTCGTGCCAGTCCCGCCCTCTCCGGGCGCCCAGCCTCTGCTCCTCTGGCGATTTCTCTGTGCTGGTCCCTGCAGGGATTTCTTAACTTTCATTGTGACAGTGAGTGACAAGGGTTAGGTGAGGTGGGTGGTGGGAGTGACACTTTACAGAGGGAGCAGGTGAGGCACAGAGAGGCGAGGCAGCCTGCCCAAGGTCACACCCGTCACAGAGAAGTGACAGGTCTAGGAGTGAACCCAGAATCATTTGTTTAGTCAACTGATGTCTGAGAAGCACCTGCTGAATGCCAGGCGGGTTGCTGAGCCTTGGGCCCCTGGGGTGAGCAAATCTGTCAGTCCCTGCCCTTCTGGAGCTCACAGTCTGCGGGGAGATGGCCGCTGATCTCAGAAAGCACAAATAAATGTGACTGGCGGTGGTGGAACAGTGAGGATGTAATAGCGAGAGTCCGCCTCGGCGGGGCGTCAGGGAGGCGTGCCTGGAGGAGTGACACTGATATCAGGGTGAGGGGTGAAGGAGGAGTTGGACATGTCGATGGAAATAATCCTTAACCAACCTGTAAATCAACATTGGGGTGAGTTTATCACAAGCCAGAGAGAGGATTGTAACCTGGGAAGGCCTTAGGAGGCGTTCCATTCTGGAGAAGCTTGGTTGGCAGTGCAGTCTTACATGTTTTTAAACACACCCGGGATCCATTTTCATCAGTTTCAGAGAGGTCTTCAGTCGAAAATAGCAAGTCGGTCGACATGACTGCCTGTCAGGACAGGGACTGTCCGGGCGTACCTGTAGGGCGTTACCGGCGGGGCTAGGAGGGCAAGTGTGCATTCTTATCTTAAGAGAGCACAGTCTTTCCTTTGATGGATAAGCAGATGTATGGTGTATGTTTGATAGGCCATAAGCCAGGCTTGTTAGTTCAAGCCAAATCAGTTCTGAGCTCCAGTAGTTACCCCGTATACGTCAGTATGTGAAAATCTCCTGTCAGACGTGACGAGAACCCAGGTGCCTTTCTCAGGCGGATCTGAGGAAGCTTCTGAGAGGAGCAATCTCGACGCCTTTCGTAAGCGGGCTGTCGCCTTCCCCCAAGTCCGTCGCGGCTGGAAGGCAAGGGAGGGTCTGGCCTCATGCATCTGGAGCAATGAGTACAGGTCCAGCAGTGCGCAACATGCCCAACATGGAGCAGGGAGAGAAACGGGAGTCGGGCCTGGTGGGGCGGGCAGGAGTTAGCTCAGAAGCAGTGGGCAGTGAGGAGGTGAAGTGGCTGCCCCTTCCTGCCCCAGCCCCAGCCCTTTCCCGCAGTCCCCTGAGTGGGTCACCTGCCTTGGATGGCACCCAAAGTCAACATCCAGTGAGGCCCAGTGCAGGCTTCCGTCCCCTGACTTCTTCGAGGCAGGGAAAGACACAGATCAGGCGGGGGGCTGCATGGGTGCAGTGTTCCCTGAGTCCTTGTAGCCCCCGCCACCGTGTCCCCAGAGGTCCAGAAGGCTGCCTGTCTCTGATCACTCATTCCTCCTGGGCTCCCAGCACATGCTGAGCCCCATGCTGACTGTCTCACAGTGACTGTGGAGTTAGGGCTGAACTCAAAAACTGGCTCTGCTGCTCAGCTGTGTGACCTCAGGCAAGTGCCTTCTCTCTGAGCCTCACTTTCCTCGAGGCTTTTATGGCATTGTTGTGTGAACCCCCTGAGCAGGTACGTGAGAGAGACTCAGCACCACCTATGACCCACAGTCCACATTAGTCCCCACGGGCCTCAAGGTCTGGCAGGGGAGACGCATAGAAGCAGACGCATGGATCCAAACAGTCGATCTGGTTAGCCACAGGGCCTGGACAGTGCCCCAGGTGGTGCAGTTGCCCAAGCTCACTTTCGGCTGGCAGCAGGAGAAGTGTTACGAAAGGCTTACTGGAGGAGGGAGCTGCGGGAGCTGGGAAGGTGACCAGGTGGCAGTCAGTGGACAAGGAGGCATCACTGTGGGAATGAGGGGTGCGGGGCAGGGCGCTGGAGCTGGCAAGCTGGGAGTCCTGGTGATGCTGGAGCCTGGAGGACAGCGCCAGGAGGGCCCTGGGTGTTGAGGGTGTCCAGACAGCAGAGAGGGCCAGAGAGGACCACTGTGAGCCCAGGAGGGAGGAGCTGCCCCAAGGGGATGGTGGCCTGGGAGAAGCACCATCAGACCTGCCTTCCGGAAGCTCCCGAGGCAGCCGTGGGCGTCCCTCCTGTCCACAGCGGCTGTCACGCTGTTTATTATTCCTCTCCCCACGGCTCGCATGTTTTCAAAGTTTCCCTCCTGCACAGAGCACATTTAATCAAAAACAAGGTAATGGGGGCTGGCCCGGTGGCACAGTGGTTACGTTTGGCGCACTCCATTTCAGCGGCCCAGGTTTGCGGGTTCCAGTCCCAGGCATGGACCTACACAACTTGTCAGCCATGCTGTGTCAGTGACCCACATACAAAATAGAGGAAGAGTGGCATGGATGTTAGCTCAGGGCCAGTCTTCCTCAGCAAAATAAAATAAAAAATAAGGTAATGGCACATCAAGAAATTCACAACTACATGTCTCTGCCAGCTGAGCCCCTGATTACTGAGCAAGCCAGCATGGCTGCATTCCGCTGACAGAAAGCCCTCTGGACACTTGCCCGCCCTCTCTTTCTTGCTTCTCAGCAGCTCCTGCGGCCTCCTGCTCCTTTCTCTGTCTGCTGGCCCCTCCTCCTCCTCGTTCCCCTTGGATGTTGACCCCTCAGGCGCGGTGGTCTGTGCCTCCCGTGCCATCCGTCTCCCAGGGCAGGCTTTGACCCACGTCAGTGTGCCAGTGGCTTTCAAATTTGAACTGCGGTCCAGAGTACGTATCTGGAGACCCATTGGCCTCCAGGACACCCTGGAGGTCCCGCAGCCACCACAAACTCTCTCCATCTCAGCGGGTGACACCGCCATCCATTCGGCCACCCACGTTGGAGACCTGGGCACTATTCCTGCCTCCTTTCCCTCCTCCCCCGCACATTCACTCCCAGACATTGACCGAACACCAGCTGCGGGCCAGGCTCTGTTGTGGGTGCTGAGACCCAACCGTGAACAAGACGCAAGCAGTCACTGTTCTCTGGGAGTGGTAGACTCTGGTAGAAGTGACACAATAAGTGAGGTTACAGATAAATGTACAATGCAGCGGTGATGTGGGCACTGAAGGTAAAGTGGAGTTAGCGGTAGAGAGGGACGGGATATGATCTCTCAGCCATGGCAAGCAGGAAAGACTTCTTGGAGGAGGTGTTGTCTGAGCTGAGGCTTGAGAAGTGAGACGAGCTAGGCCAGGGCATTGTGGGCAGAGGGAACTGCGAATGCAAAGGCCCTGAGGCAGGACCATGTGTGGACTGCTCAGAGGCCAGCTAGGAGGCCAGGCTGGCTGGAGTGGAGTGAGCCGAGGGAACAGGGACGTTGGAGGCTTGGAGGGGCTGTGAAGAGCCAGACGGCCGTGGGAACGGACTTGCGGCTTGCTCTCAGCAGCAGGCTTGACAGACAGCAGTTTCAGCAGGGCAGAGACCTGACCTGCCTTCTGTTGAAGAAGATCCTCCCGCTCTTTGTGGAGAGGGAACTGTGGGGTCAAGAGGAACAGCGGGGGCGGGGGAGGTCACTGCAGCGTTGCCTGCCTCCCTCCAGTCTGCCCTAGGTCCTGCCTTAGTCCTCGCATCCGGGCCCCGCAGCCCCAGCTCCAAGGCTGTCCTCACTCCCCTACCCAGCGTTCCCACCCCTGGCTCCCGCCACCCTGGTCCCCCGACCCCTCAGGCCTCAGTTTGAAGGTCTCGCCCTGGGGGAGACTCTCAGTTCCCCCCAAGCAAGTGCCCCAGCCTGGGGACCCTGTTTGTCTTGGTCATCTCTGTGTCCCCAGGCCTCGCATGGTGCATGGCACAGGGGCACGCAGTGCATCCTGGGTAAATGAGCGGACTTCTCTGCAGCCCTGGTGAGGGCAAGCAAATGAATTTCTCCTTACCTTTTCCTTTGAGCACTCTAGGGACCCAGGGGCCCCGTGCCAGCGGCAGCCCCCAGAGTTGTTTGCCTGGGGAAGAAGCTGGGCCTTAGGAAGCCAGGAAGGCAATGTTTATGGAGCAGAAGTGGCCCTGCAGGGAGTGAGAAGTAGGGTGATGAGCCTGGCTCACCTTTGCTCACCATGTGCCCCAGGTGGTGGTACCACTCCTCTGGACGTCATGTCCCCTCAGGGGCCAGTATGGGAGGCAGGATATGCTCCTGACAAGGAGTGTGTGGAGGGCACGTGGGAGTCCTTCGGCCAGGGCCTGGTCCAGGTGCCCACAAGATCACCCCCCGGGTGCTGGGTCCCTGACAGGCCTTCTCAACCTCAGCAGGAAGAGGGCACAGGGACCCTTGCCCACGGGCCATCAAAGCAAAACCAGGAAAGGAAGGTTGTCTGTCTGTCTATCTCTGTCACTGTCTTGTTCTCTTTCTCTCTCTGGCGTGAAAAAGCAAAGACACTGTATTTCACGAACCTACAGCTTCCGAGGCAGGTGCTCTGGGCTCAGTCAGCTCAGCGATGGTGCTCTCAGGGCATGCTGGGTCCTGCAGCTGGCTGTCCTCGCGGCCCGCAGGAGCAGCAGCAGCTCTGGGCAGTGTCTCCACACACAGCCTCGCTGGGCTGCAGAGCCTCTGCCCCCTTTGCTTCCATCAGGGAGCTGTACCGTGCGTGGAACAAATCAGGCTTCCTGAAAGTTCACCCTTACAGCTACCCAGAAAGCCGCGAGCACGCTGTCCATCACCCCTGAGGTGTCCTCACACCCCTTTGTGTCCAGCCTGTCCCCAGGCAGCTGCTGCTGTGTTTTCTGTCACCATTTCCCGAGATTCTACATAAATGGAATTGTGTGGGATGTGCTGGCCATTGTCTGGTTTCTTCCACTCGGCCAGTGGTCCCAAGATTCCTTCATGTCAGCGTGAGCGTCAGGACTCGTTCCTTTCACGGCTGAGGAGTGCTCCATCTGTGGGCAGACACCGTCTGTGTCTCTGCTCACCTGTTGGAGGACATCAGCATTCTCTCCAGCCTGAATCCATTTAAAATAAAGCTGCTGTGGAATCGAAAGCCCAGAAATAAACATCTGTGGACAGCTAATCTTCGACAAGGGAGCCAAGAACTTACAATGGAGAAAGGAATCTCTTCAATAAATGGTGTTGGGAAAACTGGACAGGCTTAGGCAAAAGAATGAAAGTAGACCACTATCTTACACCAAACATAAAAATTAACTCAAAATGGATTAAAGACTTGAATGTAAGACCTGAAATCATAAAACTCCTGGAAGGAATTATAGGCAGGACACTCTTTGACATCAGTCTTAGCAGCATCTTTTTGAATACCATGTCTACTTGGACAAGGGACAAAAGAAAAAATGAACAAATGGGGCTACATCAGACTAAAAAGCTTCTGCAAGACAAAGGAAACCATCAACAAGGTGAAAAGACAGCCCACCAACTGGGAGAAAATATTTTCAAATCATATATCCAACAAGGGGTTAATTTCTGAAATATATAAAGAACTCACAGAAGTCAACAACAAAAAACAAACAACCCGATCAAAAAATGGGCAGAGGATCTGGACATTTTTCTCAAGAGGATATACAGATGGCCAACAGGCATGTGAAAAGATGTCCAACAACAGTAATGATCGGGGAAATGCAAATCCAAACGACAATGAGAGAGCACCCTACGCCACTCAGAATGCGTGTAATTAACAAGACAGAAAACAACAGATGTTGGAGAGGGTGTGGAGAGAACGGAACCTTCATACACCGCTGGTGGGAATGCAAACGCATGCAGCCACTGTGGAAAACAGTATGGAGATTCCTCAAAACATTAAAAATAGAAATACCATGCAACTATCCCAAAGAACATGCAAACAGTAATGCATAAAGATCTCCGCCACCCCGTGTTCACGGCAGCACTGTTTACAATAGCCGAGACTTGGAAGCAACACACGTGCCCATCAACAGATGAATGGATAAAGATGCGGGATATTTATACAATGAAATACTACTCAGCAAGAAAAAAGCACAAAATCATCCCATTCACAACAACGTGGACAGACCTTGAGGGTATTGTGTTAAGCAAAATAAGCCAGACAGAGAAAGACAAACGCCATATGATTTCACTCATGTGGAAGATAGACAAACACGAGGATAAGGAGAACAGGGTAGTGGTTACCAGACAGAAAAGGGGAGGGCAAAAGGGGTAAAGGGGCACATATGTCTGGTGACAGATAAAAACTAGACTATTAGTGGTGAGCACGATGCACTCTACACAGAAACTGATATATTATAACATACACTTGAGATTTACACAATGTGAGAAACTAGTATGACCTCAATAAAATAATTTAAAAATAAATAAGTAAAATAAAATAAAGCTGCTGTGGACATATGTTTCCGTTTCTCTTGGGTAGATACCTAAGAGAGGAATGGCTGAATCATAACCTCAATGGATCTTTCTGGGCACCTGCCACACTTTACCCAGGTGGCTGTTCCATTTTACATTCCCACCAGCAGTCAGCGGGGGTCCCGGATGCTGCGCATCCTAACCCACAGGCTGAGAGAGAGAGGAGGAGAAGGGCTCCTCCCCTGTGGGCCACAGGCGGGTTCCAGCAGATGTAAACACTCAGCAGCGTCTGCTGAACAGGTGCCCTGACACAGGCAGACGAGCAGGGGGAGTTAGCACAGGAAAGGCTCTGAGAAGGTCTGCAGTGAGAGCCTGTGGACGTTGCTTAACCTGGTGTCCCCCAGGCGATTCAGTGCTGGACTCGCCCGTGGCTCCCTCCCACCTTCCCCCTGCAAAGAGCCCCGCTGGCCCCTGTGGAAGTTCACTTTGGGAAATGCTCTCCTTGGGGAATTCCCTGGGAGATGGAGATCAGACGGCCTCGAGTCTACACCCTCTGATGGCCTACTGTGATCAGGGTCCCAGGAGGGAGGGAGCTGATAAGTCTGCCCCCGCCCCAGGCTCCCGGCTGTGGGACTCAGTGAAAGCCTCTGCCCTCCACCGGCCCAGGTGCTCATCTGCCGGAACTACCGCGGCGACGTGGACATGTCGGAGGTGGAGCACTTCATGCCCATCCTGATGGAGAAGGAGGAGGAAGGCATGCTGTCGCCCATCCTGGCCCATGGGGGCGTCCGCTTCATGTGGATCAAACACAACAACCTGTACCGTATCCTTTTGCGGGGGAGCTCCCAGGCGGACTCCTGTGTGGGTATGCACGTGTGCACGTGTGTGTGCCCACATGTACACACGTGCAACGAGAGCTGCCGGCACTGGCCCTGGCCCAGCCCAATGGGGCCAGCTGACCCGGCCCGGCCCTGCCAGAGCTCTCTGCTGCCGATGAGATGCATGCAGGACACGCAATGACAGGCGGACCTCTTCTGTTCCAGGGATCTAGGAAGGCTTCCCTGGAGAGGCCTGCAGGAAGGCCAGCTGTCCATCTTGCCAGAGGAGTGGGCAGGCAGGAGGAGTGCCAGGCCCGGGCCAAGGGTCTGCAAGGGGAAGGCGTGGCCCATTCCAGAGGCCGCAGTAGGACACTGGAGAGGGGTGCGCGGTGGGAGCGAGGCCCACGTGGTCAGTGGGCACAGGCCATGGGGGCTCGTAGGACATCACCTTACGTGTGATGGGGAGTCTTTGGGACGTTTTAGGCAGAGGGGAGGTACAGTCAGATTTGCGTTTTCTGAAGGTCTCTCACTCCTGAGGGGACCACACTGCAGGGAACAGAAGTGGGCATGGGGAGGTGGCGAGGACATTGGGATTGGTGTCCAGGTGGGAGGGGTAGTGGCCTGGACCACGAGGGGGCTGGAATACAGCGAAGGGGAGAGATTCCTCACAACCCCGCCCACATCCCGGGCCCCCTGCCCTCAGGCCCATGTTTCTGTCCACAACGTCTGACTGGCCCCCATGGCTGTGGTCAGCCCTCCAGGCTCCAGGAGGGGCCTGGCTTTTCAAACTCAGCTCCAGCAGCTGTGTGCCTAGAGGCAAGTCCCTCCCCTTCCCACTGTGCAGGGGGAGCAGTTACTCCTCCCTGCAGGGCCATTAGGGTCTGCTGAGCGGATGTGTGCGATGCACCCAGCAGATGTGGGTTCTCTCCCCTTTCCCGTGTTCGTAGAGACACGTGGGACCTTGCTAGTGCAGGTGTGGTTCACAGGCCACAGCATCCTCGGGAGCCTTCTGGGAATACAGGATCCCAGCCCCCACACAGCCCGCAGGTCAGAGTCCGCGATTCAGCGAGCCCATCTCTTGTGACTTGTGCACATTGCAGCGTGGGAGGTGCTGCCCTGGGCCTGTCCCGGCCGGCCCTGCGGCACGCTTCTGCTTATCCTTCGCCGCCCTCTGGAAGGCCTCGGGGCGGCTCTGCAGAGACTGCCATGGCCTGTAACCCAGCCAGGTGACTGTCTCGGAAGCTGCCCTGGGTCTGGGCAGGGGTTGCCCAGGTGTGGGAGGAGGGCTCGTGTGAGCTTCCAGGGCCGTCAGACCAGTCTCCAGCGGGGCCCGACAGTTCACGTGTGGGCCTCCAGGGAGGAGACAAGGAGGGCTCACCCCTCTGGGTGCCGCACCCTGCCTGAGGGGAGGTCCTGTCCCCCCAGCCTCGTCCCTGGTTCCACTGTCAAGTGACAGTTTCCAGCAAGGCCTGGCCATGAGGGTTGTAGGTGCCCCTGGCCCCCCTTAGAAAGCGCTTGGAGGGTGTGGCCAGGCTGTAGGAGGGAGGCCAGCACTCCTCTGACCGGTCCAGCGTCCATTTCTTGGGCCCCTGCACTGGGCCAGGATGAGGCAGGAAGTGAGGTGAAGGTGGCCCCTGCCCTCCCAGCCCCCTTCCTGGAACTCACAGCTCGGCGCTGGAGCCAGGTGGCCTGGCCTGTCGTGAACGGGAAGTCCAGGGCACAGCCCAGGGGCCTGCAGTGGAGGAGCCGGCTTCCGGGGGGGTTCAAGGCCCCTTAGGGAAAGAGGGACAGGAAGTACCCAGCACACATTGGCTGTGAGGCGAGGCTCCCGCATTGGATGGAGTCTGTGCCGGGCACGCCCCACACATCCCCTCCGTGGATCCGCTCGCAGGCCCCAGTAAATGGGTGAGAAGAGGGGCTTGGTGACAAGTCCACTCCAGGGCCGAGGCTGGCAGGAGGGCTGCTTCCCACAGAGCCTGGCAGGAGCCCTGGACCGCGGGAGGCTCCCATGCGGTCAGCTTTGGAGAAGGGCCAGCTGTGGTCCGGCTTTCCGCTCTCGGAACCAGCCGCACTGCCTCCCCGTGGGCTGTTCACCCCATGAAGGGCCCCTGCCAGGCTTCAGCTCTCAGGCCAAGTCTCCCCTCCTCAGGCAGCCCCCGCCCAGCAGCAGTGGCTTCTCTGTGCCCCTGCTGCCCCTCTGTCGGCTGAGCGCTCCCTGGGGCTGGGACTGCGGCCAGCTGGTAACTGCGGTGTCCCAGGCCCGGCTCAGACCCGGAGCTCAGTAATCCACTGGGGCCGAGGGCACGGCTCAGGGTTGGGCTGGTGGAGGCTCCGAGCCCGGCATGTGGGTGGGGGTCTCTCTAAGACATTCAGCGAGCCGGGGTCTGCGAGGCGGCTGCCCAGGCCTCAGAACGCTCCTTAACTGTGGCCGCCATGCAGTGGTCGCCACCTCCAAGAAGAACGCGTGCGTGTCGCTGGTGTTCTCCTTCCTCTACAAGGTGGTGCAGGTGAGTCAAGCCACAGGGGCCCTGGAGGGGTGTCGGTCGTCCTGATTCTGCTGTGTGTCACCCCAGACTGGCCACCCGAGGGCTGCAGTGTCCCCGGGAGTTCTGGGGCTCAAACCCCAGGGGAAGGGATGGGGAGCTCCAGCTGCTGCATGTGTGGGATTCGACAGCCTGGTGAGGAGAGGAAAGTGAACAGGAGGTGGGGCTCAGGGCAGGAGTGTGCCCTGACCACAGGAGGGACCCCCGCTGGCTGTGAAAGGGTGGAGGGTGGCCAGCTGAGAGTCTGGGGTTAGGGAGGTGGGATAACCAGGAGGAGGGCAGAGGCGAGCTCTGCTCAGAATCTCCAAGGTCCCCGGCTGGGAAGAGCTGACAAGCTAGGCCCAGGCCCACAGCGAGGTGGGAGGCAGAGAGAGCAGTACATGCAGCAGCTCTGGGGCAGGAGCACACCTGGTTGGGTCAGGGAACATCAGGCAGGCCGGTGTGTGAGGGACAGAGTGTGGGGCTGAGGTAGCAAGGTGGGTGGGGCTGGACCCTGGGGTCGAGGCTGGGCAGCACCTGGTGACGAGTTTAGGTTTCGTTCCAAGTCTCATGAGAGGTGGTGCTTAAGATCATCTCTCTGTCTGCTGAGTAGAGAAGGAGCTTGAAGGCAGGAGGGAGGCCAGTGAGGGGGTTGCTGCGGCCTTCTGCAAGAGGAACTGGGGGGCCTGGCTGAGGTGGGCGCCGCCAGGTTGAACAAAGTGGAGAGTCAGACCCACGAGGCCCCAGTGGGCCCAGGAGAGCTTTCGTCCCTCCAGTGGTGCAGCATGCAGCTAGCTCACGAGCTTCCTGTGCCACCTGGGCGCAGGCTGGTCTCAGTGGCGAGGGCGTCGGGAGCAGAGCACATGCCCCCTGGGGAGGGCCTTCCCTCCGGAGCAATGGTGCCGTCGCAGGCGGGCAGGCCCGGCAGTGCTGCGTGAGGTCCGAGTGGAGGCCAGGCGGTCTGGGTCCTGAGCACAAGAGGCGTCAGCAGGCCGGGAGCCAGGAGGGGGAGCCAGGAGGGCCCTCCTCCCTCGAGGGATGGCACTTCCTTTCTCCCCGTGACCTTCCTTCCGTGTTAGTGCTGAAGAAACGCCCCGCCTCGGTCCTTCTTTGGCCCTCTTAATTTTCTGCTGAAATGAGGAGGGCATGTCTGCATGCAGAGCTGCACAGGCTGGCGGCTCAGGGAGGCTGGGAGGACCACCTGTCCTGTCCCCAGTGGCTCCTGCCCCTCACCTGAACCCCTCCTGACTCAGTGGCAAAGGGTGACAGTTACAGTGGGGATTAAAGAGAGGCTCAGAAGGGGTCCGGGCCTGGGGCGTCTGTCAGGGAGGAGAGGAGCGCGGCCCCGCGGGGCGGGATTCAGGGCTTCTGAGCAGGCCTCAAGGCCACCTGTGCCCCCGGCCTCCTGGGTTCCGGCCGGAAGGGCAGACGGGTGTGTGCGAGCGCTCCTCTCCTCCTCCCTGTCCACTGGCTGCCTGTGCCACTGCCGGTGCCGCAGGTCTTCTCCGAGTACTTCAAGGAGCTGGAGGAGGAGAGCATCCGTGACAACTTCGTCATCATCTACGAGCTGCTGGACGAACTCATGGACTTCGGCTACCCGCAGACCACGGACAGCAAGATCCTGCAGGAGTGAGTGGACGGCGCGGCCCCGGCAGGCCGGGCGGTGGCGGGCGGTTGCGAGTTCTTGGCAGTTTTAGATGCCCTTCCCGCTCAGCATCCCTTTAGGACCGGGGCCTTGGTCCCCCTGTTGGGCAGTGCCTGGAACGCCTGGTGGGTGGGCGTTGCCTGCCTGTGTTTCCACCTCATAACAGGCTGTGAGGGGAGCCCTCCTGGAAGCTGCCCTCTGCCCCTGGGGCCCAGGCCCGCTCCACGCAGCCCGAGCCGTGTGCCCGTCTCACGAGGAGCGAAGGGCCGCCGAGAGCAGCGTGTAACGGCCCGCACCTTGCGCCTCTTGTTCCCCAAGTGGGAGTGGGGCCTCCCGCTTCCTCTCCCCGGGGTCGTCCCCTCCGCACACCCAGCCAGAGGGGAGTTCCTGCCCACGTGTTGGCCTCGGCCGCTCGGCGCTCCCTGGGCCTTGGATTTGTTGGGATCTGGGGACGTCCTAAGCTAGTCTTGGATTCGCCTGGCCCGGGCACCTTGACCCTGAGCCCGGCCCCGCAGGTACATCACTCAGGAAGGCCACAAGCTGGAAACTGGGGCTCCTCGGCCCCCAGCCACTGTCACCAACGCGGTGTCCTGGCGCTCCGAGGGCATCAAGTACCGGAAGAACGAGGTCTTCCTGGATGTCATTGAGTCTGTCAACCTGCTGGTAGGCCGCCTGTCTTTTCTGTTCTTTTTTGTTCTTTCTACTTTTGTCTTCTCCGTGATGGAAATCAAAGCAAGAGGCCTGTGAAAGCCAGCAAACCGCAGGGAAATGCTTAGGCTCCCGGGACAGCAGATGAGGGGTGCGGCTTGGGCCGCTCGCTGCGACGCAAGCTGCTTTCATCTTCATTAGCCTTTGTTCTTATTTCCAGTCAGTACGCGTGCAGTGTTGTTTAAAAAAAGAAAGAAAAAGCAGTGTGTAAAGTTAGAGGCGAAGGGCTCTGTAACTGGAAAGACCACCTCGCGGAAGGACTCATCATCATCCATGGGGACCTTATTCTGTAGCTTCACAAATGTACGTTGTTCTTCTGTAAAACTGAGCGTACGAGATGCAGTGCTCCTGCAACTTGTTTTTCTGTTTTTTGAGTTTGTTTGTTTTTACTGTTTTCTGTATGTTTGATTTTGTCTTAATTGTATCTTTTAAATTATCGTTAAGTAAAACTGACCTTTTTTCTAGGAATTTTAGTGCACTTCCAGAATTTTGTACCGCGTGATCCTAATCAGGATCCAGACTAGCCGCATCGCCTCAGAAACCTCCCCGGGCTGCGCCTCTGTGGTGGTGCCCACACCCGCCCTGGCGGCCGTGCTGGGGCCCCTGTCCCTGTAGCTCTGTTTCTGTGAGGTCATCTTCTGAAGGAATCAGACAGTGAGTGACCTTTTGGGTCTGGCTTCTTTCACTCCGCATGATGTCTTTGAGATTCCTGCAGGTTGCCGTGTTTCTCAGGTTTGGTTCTTATATTTGTGTATGTCCATTTTACGTTCTGCACCGCAGTTTGGTTATCCATTCACCCCCTCGAGGACCTTTGGGTCATTCTCAGCGTTTGGCAGTTGGGAGGAGGGTTGCTGTGGTCGTTGCGTGCACAGGTTTATGTGTGGACAGGAGTGTCCGTTTCTCTGGGGCAGATACCCGGGCGTGGGATTGCTGGCTCAGGCGGGAAGTAGATGTTTAACTTGATGAGAAACTGCCAGCCCGTTTGCCAGAGGGGCTGTCGCATGTCTGCGTTTTCCCCAGCGGCAGATGAGAGTTTGGTATGCTCCACGGCCTGGGTCCTTATTTTCACGTGGCCGTCCTGTTAGGTATGGGTGGCATCTCACCTGGCTTGGGGGTTTGCATGTCCCTGATGGCCAGTAATGTTGAACACCTTTCTGTGTGCTGCTTGTCATCCACATATCCTCTTTGGCAAAGTGTCTCTTCAGGTCTTTTGAGCATTTTTAAATTGGGTTGTTTATTTTCTAATTGTTGAGATGTCTTTTGTCAGCTCTGTGATTTGCAAATATTTTCTTGTCTCCATTCTCTTGGCAGTATCTTTCACAGAGCAAAAGTTTTTAATTTTGAGAAAAATTATTAAATTCTTTTTATTGATTATGCTTTTGGTGCCATGTCTGGGAACTCATTGTCAAATACAAGGTCATAGAGATTTTCTCCTAAATTTTTTTCTACAAGTTTTATAGTTTTACGTTTAGACCTGTGATCAGTTTGGAGTTGTTTTATATAAGTTATGAAGTTTATGGCCATTTTTTTGTATATAGAACAATTTTTTGCAGTTCTAAGTCATTTTTTGAAAAGACTACACTTTCTCCCTTGGATTGCTTTTGCATTCTTGTCAAAAAGCAATTGGCCATGTTTTTGCGAGTCTGTCTCTGGACTCTCTGTTCTGTTCCGTGGTTCTCTATGTCTGTTCCTTCGCCAGTACTGCACTGTGACAGCTGGAACTTTACACTGTCTGAAAATCAGAGAATGCATTCCCCCAACGTTCTTTTTCAAAATTGTTATAGCTGTTTAGTTCCTTTGTACCAAATTTTAAAATCGGCTTGTCTATATCTACAAGAAATCCTGCTGGGATTCTGATTGCTGTTGTGTTAAATAACTCAATTCACCTATTTGAGGGAGAATTGGTACCTTTAGTATATTCAGTCTCACAATCCATGAGTGCAGTATTTCTCTATATGTTTAGGTCACCTTTGATTTCTTTCTTCTGTCTTTTGTAGTTTTTACCTTGTACATGTTTTGGCAGATTTATACTTAAGCATTTCTTTTTTTTGATGCTATTGTAAATTGTATGTTTTCAATTTTATTTGGTAGAATTCACCAGTGAAACTGTCTGAGCCTGGAGATTTCTTTTTCACAATATTGTGAAGTACAAATTTCAGTTCTTTAATGGTTACAGGATTATTCAGGTTTCCTCTGTCATCGTGAGTGGGTTTTGGTAGTTCGCTGTTTTGCAGACGCTGATCCTTTTCCTGTAAGCCATTGAGTTTCCTGCAGAGTGCCGTCTGTAGCGTGCCCTCACATCTTTCAGTGTCTGCAGCGTCTGCGCTGACGCCACGCTCTCACTCCTCATACTGGTCATTTATGTCGTCTTTCTTTTTTCTTCATCAGTCTTGTGAGAAGTTTATCTATTTTATTGATCTTTACAGAGAATCAGCTTTTGATTTCATTGATTTTTCTCTATTGTTTTTCTCTTTGTAATTTCATTGATTTCTGCTCTTGTCTCTAATATTTCCTTCTCCATGATTTGGGTTTATTTTTCTCTTTTCCTAGTTTCTTAAGGTAGAAACTGAAGATACTGATTTGAAACCATTCTTCTTTTCTGATATAAACACGCTATAAATCTCTCTCTAGACACTGGTTTAGCTATGTCCCACAATTGGTACGTTGGATTGTTGTTTTTGTTCAAAGTATTTTCAAATTTCCCTCGAGATTTCCTTTTGGCCCGTGGATTATTTAATAAAAGTGTGTTGATTAATTTCTAAATGTTTGCAGATTTTTCTGTTGTCTTGTGGCCATTGATTTTTAATTTCATTCCGTTAATGTCTGAGAATATGAGAATATATTGCGTATAATGTCAGTTCTTTAAAATTTGTTAAAGTTTTTTTTTTTTAAAGATTTTATTTTTTTTCCTTTTTCTCCCCAAAGCCCCCCAGTACATAGTTGTATATTCTTCGTTGTGGGTCCTTCTAGTTGTGGCATGTGGGACACTGCCTCAATGTGGTTTGATGAGCAGTGCCATGTCATTTGCATTGCACTCTCTTCATTCCCAATTTTCCAGGTTTCCTTCTGGAATCATTTCCCTTCCACCTAAAAAACTTTTTTTTAGCAATTCTTTCAGAACAGGTGTACTGGCTACAAATTCCCTTGTTTTTCCGTCCTCTGAGAATGTCTTTATTTTACCTTCATTCCTGACTGATATCTACACTGGATATCCAATTCTGGGTTGACAGTTCTCTTTTAGCACCTTAAAAACGTTGTGCCACTTCCTTCTAGGCTCACAGTTTCTGGTGAGAAGTCCAGTCGCTCAAATCCATGCCCCCCGTAGGCAGCACATTGTTCTCTCTGGCTGCTTCCCAGGTTTCCCTTTGTCTTTAGTTTTAAGCAGATAGATTATAATGTGTCCAGGTTTGGGTATCTTTGGGTTTCTACTGTTTGGGTTTTCTTGAATCTGCAGGTTTATGTCTTTCACCAAACTTGCAGTGTTCCCAGCCATTATTTCCTCAAATATAGTTGATCATTTCACTCTTTCTCTTTTCCTTCTGTGCTCCAGTGACACGAACGCCAGCCTTTTCTTATCGCCCCAGAGTCCCTGAAGCTGTTTATTTTATTCCACTGTTTTGCTCTCTGTTGTTTAGATTGGATAATTTCCATTGCTCTTTCTTCAAGTTCACTGGCTTCTCCCTGTGTTGTCTCCATTCTGCTCTTGAGCCCATCCAGCAAGTTTTTAATTTCAGTTATGGTATTCCTCAGTTCTGAAATTTCCATTTGATTTTCTTCCTATCATCTGTTTCTTTGCTGAGACTTTCTATTTTAACATGTGTTGCAAGAGTGTTTGCCATTTTTATCATAGCTGATTAAAGTCTTTGTCATATAATCCAAATACTGTGTCAGTGTTGTGTCTGTTGCTTGTATTTTCCACGTGAGCTGAAATTTTCATGGTTCTCTGTATGCTGTATAATTTTAGATTACATCCTGGACTTTTTGAACACTAAGGTATAAGGTTCTAGGTCTTATTTAAATTATATGGTAAATGTTGATTTTTTTTAGCTAACAGGTGACCTGGTTAGGCTCCAGCCACAGTTCCAGCCTCCAGTCTGTGGGCCATGAGTATCAGTTTTTTTGGGTTTTTTTAAAAGATTTTATTTTTTTCCCTAAAGCCCCCCGGTACATAGTTGTATATTCTTCGTTGTGGGTCCTTCTAGTTGTGGCATGTGGGACACTGCCTCAGTGTGATTTGATGAGCAGTGCCATGTCCGTGCCCAGGATTCGAACCAACGAAACACTGGGCCGCCTGCAGCAGAGCGTGTGAACTTAACCACTTGGCCATTGGGCCAGCCCCCTTTTTTTTTTTTTTCTGCTTTTTCTTCCCAAATCCCCCCAGTAGATAGTTGTATATTTTGAGTTGTGCGTCCTTCTAGTTGTGGCATGTGGGATGCCGCCTCAACGTGGCCTGTTGAGCAGTGCCATGTCCGCACCCAGGATCCGAACTGGTAAAACTCTGGGCTGCTGAAGCAGAGCACACGAACTTAACCACTTAGCCACGGGGCTGGCCCCTGAGTATCAGTTTTTAAAGGCTTCCTGTCATTTGCTATTTGAGTCTATCGCGCGTGTGCACTGTCCAGTGGTCAGGCTGGGACTAGGCAGTTTGGTTGTCCAGGTCTTTGGCATGCTAATTAGGACCATGCCTTGCACGCCCCCTTCTAGAGAGCTCTGGAGACGTGAACAGCGTCATGGGGTTGCTTTCCTGAGCTCCTCACTCTCTGCTCTCTTCCTAGTGCTTTCTGGCTGCCTGGGGCTTCCCTTTTTGGTTCTGCAGACAAAAACTTGTGGCTCTAGAGCCCCAGTTTGTTGTGCATGTCTGCAGTTGGCCCCGAATCCTGGGTTTGCCCCACCCTCTCTAAACAGCAGCTAAATGGCTTGGGGCCTGGGATTTGAGAGAACAGAAAAGGGGGGAAACGGGGGGTTTCCGTACTCCCTCTGAGCCACAGGAGTTCCCCTTCTGGCCCCGGAGCCAGAGCTAGAGGCTTCCACGAGCTCTGTCTGCACCCAGGTGTCACTTCCACTTCCAGGTTTCCTCTGCTCTTCCACGGAGTGGGGGAGGGGAGGGGCGCTGCTCGTTTCGCAGGCTCTGCCCGGACCCACCTGCTGCACTTTCCAGAGTCTCCCCACAGTTGCCCGTGTGTCCTTCCCAGGTTTTGTGGCTGTAGTCAGTGGCAGAGAAAGGGTGACGCAAGCCAGCTGCGTCTCACCTGCGGGCTGCCTGTCTCCACATGGGACAGTACCTCCTCCCACTGTTTGGGCTGAGCCGATCCCATCATGTGGGTCACTTATGCGGGCCTGTTTCTGACCATTAGAGACGGGACAGAAATGCGTGTGCCTCCTCCTCAGGTGCACACTTTGGGCTTCCCGCTTCCCTGGGCAAGGCTTCTGGAGGGCTGAGTCTGCAGACGTGGAGCTGCTGAGCAGCCATGCTTTCCACCAAGACTCCCAGTGGACTTCATGGAAACGCGTCAGCCTTCTTACTCTTGGGGCTGTGGGACAAGGCAGTGGCCTCACTGGCTCCCTCCTGCCTGAGGACCTCTGCCCGGACTGTTTGCTGAGCCAGCACACGGCTCAGGTGCCCTGGGGTGGGAGAGCAAATCCAAGGGAGCCACTTAGAACAGCTGTGTGGGAAAGCGCTGGGCCTGCAGGGCTGTCCCGGCCACAGTGCGTCCCTGCGCCTGGCTCTGCCCAGGGACCCGCGTTCCTCTGTACACGGGGCAGCGCGCAGTGGGTGTAGACACCCCAGGCATGTTAGAACCTTCCCAAGTCAGATTGCAGAGCTGGCAGCTGCTAGAGTCCACATCGGGCTCCAAATTCTGGAAATCCAGCTGTAGAGGTGTACCCAAGCAGCCGGTCCCTCCCTCCCTCAGCCAGTATCTCTGCCGACCCCACCCTGGGGAACCCCCTGGCTCTGGGCCGCCGTTCACACCGCAGCTGGGGAGGCCAGCCCCGTCCTGGTGGCTGCCCATGGGGCCAAGATTAGCCTTGTGGGCTGCATGGCTTTTCTGCTCCACTTCCTGGGCCTTCCTTCCCAGCGTTCTTGACCTCATGTGTTTAGTGACAGAGGTCTGTGCCATCCCAACTCCCCAACGGTGAGACAGCCCCAGAGAATGGGATCTGGAGGTGGTCACAGTTCAGGAGTGCAGAGGACCAGCAGGGTAGGGCTGGCGGGGGTGGCAGCCAGAACCGGGCCAGGGCCCACGGCTGCACCGGCTCACTGAGTGCTGCTGCCCCTGGGCTGGACCCAACGGCAAGCAGCCTGGCATAGCCCCTCCCCAGAGGGGCCTGGAGGCGGAGGGACACGCAGACAGTGCTGGCGAGAGGCAGAAGAGGAGGCAGCAGCTGTGTACCGTGGGGGCAGGGAGCTGCCTGCTGGGGTGAGGACAGCGAGGACCATTGTGGCCAGAGCACATATAGCGACCCTGGGAGGCGATGAGCCAGACCCTGCAGGCCCTTCCGTCCTGTTTCCTGCCTTTCTGGGGCCGCCATCGGGTTCTCCACTGCCCCCAAGGCAAAGGGCTTTTCATGCACATGGGGCTTTCTAGACACCTGGGTTAGACCCTGCAGAAGTCAGAGGCTCAGCCTCCATCGTGTGAGCATGGCTGGCGCCTGTGAGGAGTGACCTGTGTGGTCCCAGGGCCTCTGGGTTTGCAGCCCTTGGTCTCGCTTGCTGGCATGGCTGTGGCCTTGTGCAGAGTGGCGCTGTAGAGTAGTGGTCAGGGCTGCGACCCAGCACCTCTGCCCACTGCTCCGTGCCTCATCTCAGAAGTGGGCCCGAGGAGAGGCACTCCAGCAGCCTGGCTCCCTCAGGACAGGCTCAGGCGGCCCAGAGGTCTGCTGTGATTTTCATCGCATTCTCAGATGCCTCCGGCTTGCAGGGAGTCACAGGGTCTCCCAGTCACAGCCCCCGCGGGCTGGCACGGAGCCACCTGGGCAGTGCTGGCTGCTGGGCTGCGTCTGCTAAAGTGCCTTGTTGCTTTGGGTCTGTGCTTATCAGATGTCAGGGCAGCCCTGGGGAGCAGGGACAGCTCCGGGCACAGGAGGCTCCGTCTGTGACAAGCCTGAAGGTTTGGACAGACAGAGATCTTGAGAAAAGTGAGTCTGGCCTGCTCCAGAGAGCCCCGGGGCGGTGGGTGAGCATGCAGATGAGCTGCAGGGTTTGCCCCGTCATCGTAGGGGCTCCTCAGAGGGAGCGGAGCCTGCGAGAGAGCCCTGAAGTGGACGGCCAGGCCTAGGTCACCAGGCCCAGCCATGACGGAGGGGCCCATGCGGCCTGAGGCCTAGAGGGGCCCACGAGTGTCTGCCCCGCTGGCTTGCCCCTCCCTCTCCAGCCAGGGGCTGGTGAGCAGGGCGTCCAGGATGGAGGTGGCTGGGAGGTCTTACAGCATGCTGGGGGACAGTAGCTGGGAGGCAGGGCCGCCTCTCACGCCCACCCTGCCACCCCCAGGTCAGTGCCAACGGCAATGTCCTGCGCAGCGAGATCGTGGGCTCCATCAAGATGCGGGTGTTCCTCTCGGGCATGCCCGAGCTGCGCCTGGGCCTCAACGACAAGGTCCTCTTTGACAACACAGGCCGTGAGTACCCCCACCCACCTTGTCCCAGGCCCAGTCAGAGCTGGGGGAGTGTTCACCTGCATGGGGCGCAGGCCGAGCTGCGGCACTTGGGTGAGAAACATTGTCACGTGGTTCACGAGATGCCGTGAAAAGGAATAAATGAACACCTGGATGGGGAGGGCCTGGGATGGTGAACACCCTAAGGTCAAGTCCCCTCGACGGCCTGGCTGAGCGCGTGGAGGGTTGCAACTGGTCCTCCACCCACTACCCCCTGCACGTGGGACGGCTCAGGGTCAGCCTCGCTCCCTCCCCGCGGGCCACTGCTGCCCTCGCCTCGGGCCCTGGGTCTGGCCTATCTGAAGGCCACACGCAGTGCTGCAGCTCCAGTCCCCAGGCCTGGTGCGGCACTTCCTATAGTGGGACAGGGTCAGGGCGGCCTCGGGGGCTCAGAGTTGCTGGGGCTGCACGTTTGCAACCTGGACCACCTGGCCCCTGGCCCACCACAGGCCCTGCAGTGGGGAGCAGTGGCCTCAACTGTCATAGTTATGTCCACAAGGGCCATAGTGAGGGCTTTTCAGGCAGTAGCCATCAGGGTGGCTCCCCTCCCAGGGCTAGGCCTGGCCTGTGTGGCCCTCTGTGGGGTGGGAAACAAGACAGGACCCCAGGACCCTCAGAGAGCTCTAAGCCATCGTTACGCATCCCCAGCCGGGTCTCTTAGTCATTCAGCAAACATGTCCCAAACCGCAGCCCTGGCTGGGCCCTGGGCTGGCTGCTGGGGATTCAGAGTGCACCAGCCTGACCAGCCCTGCCCTCAGCACATGCCCAGTGTCAGGACGTAACAGGGCCTCCAGAGGAGAGGAGGGCCAGGGCAGGTTGTCCTGTGACCTGGCCCCCTTAGTGTCCCTGGTCCAAGATGCTGTCACAGATTTGGGGGGCAGGACAGCTCTGCTCTGGCAGAGGTGGACCCACGGCAGTGGGAGTGTGGCTGAGAGAGTGACCCTAGGGCCTAAGGTCCATCCCACCCTCAACCCGCCTCCCCTCAGGTGGCAAAAGCAAGTCAGTGGAGCTGGAGGATGTGAAGTTCCACCAGTGCGTGCGGCTCTCACGCTTTGAGAATGACCGGACCATCTCCTTCATCCCACCCGACGGCGAGTTCGAGCTCATGTCCTACCGCCTCAACACCCACGTGAGTGCGCCAGCCGCCGGCTGCCAGGGCCCTGGCCCCGCCCCTCCCTGGCTGGGTCTCCCCCAGCAGGTGCCTGGGAGGCTCCCAGCCACTGCCCGTTCCTCCCTGGTGGCACAGCCCCTGCCCAGGGGCGTCAGTCCACGCGGAGACGCCAGGGCGGGCACAGCTCCCATGGCTGCCCGGGCTCCGAGGAGCCTGTGTCTCACAGGCTGGGGCTCCCGACCCGCTGAGGGGCCATACCCCCATGGCACCCCTGCGCCTCTCCCGGGCAGCCGCAGCAGAGCAGCCTGGCACAGGTTTCTGCATTTTCACAGAGGCCCTCGGGCTCTGTGCTCTCACCTGTGCCAGCGTTGCTGTGGACTCCTCCAAGAGCCCCTGCAGCAGTGGGCTGGGCCGACAGCCAGGCAAATGGTCTTGTGCCCGAGGCCTCAGCTTACCCTCTGTGAAACAGGGCTTTGTAAGATGAGCAGGTCTGAGCCACCCGCACTGCCCTGACAGGTCAAGCCCTTGATATGGATCGAGTCCGTGATTGAGAAGCATTCCCACAGCCGCATCGAGTACATGATCAAGGTGCGCATGTCCTGCACAGCGTCAGCCTGGAGGCAGGGGGGCGGGCACAGGGTGACATGGGTGGCCCCGTGGGCAAGGGCATTCCTTTGTCTCTGGCCTGTCCAGGGCCTTTGGTGCAGGCTCCTAACCCAGGTCTGGGGCCGGGGGGCTCTGAGACCCCTGTCCTAGGGAATGAGGGCCATGGCTCTCATCCGTGCCGCCTCTCTGTGAGCTCGGACGCAAGAGTAGGCCCAGGGCACAGAGAGGAGACACACTGCTCAGGTCCTGGCTGCGGCCATGTGACAGCAGCCTGTGGCCAGATGTCCAGGAAGGCTGCTGCCTGCAGGGGTAGCACTCCTGCCACTCCGTGACCCCGTCTAGCCCAGGCCAGCCCTGGTGACACAGACATTGTCCCAGGAGGCCAGGGCTTAGCCGGAGGGAGGGGTGGGAGCTCCGAAGGCTGAGGAGACAGGAGGGCAGAGACTGAGCTTCCAGAGTCGGGCATTGGGAGAATCTCAGAGAGCAGAGAGGGTGTGGGCAGTGCCTGGAGAACTGAGGGCCAGCTGGGTGGCGGAGGGGGTCCCACAGGCCAGGCCGAGGATGCCTGTGGCCCTGTGGGGGCCGGCTAGCTGAGGGCTGGGCTGTTTCACCCTCGCCCTGCACAATCTTGGCTGCATTGGCCTCGTCTCCAGGCCAAGAGCCAGTTCAAGAGGCGATCGACGGCCAACAACGTGGAGATCCACATCCCTGTGCCCAATGATGCCGACTCGCCCAAGTTCAAGACCACGGTGGGGAGCGTCAAGTGGGTCCCTGAGAACAGTGAGATCGTGTGGTCCATCAAGTCCTTCCCGGTGAGCACCCTTCTCGGTGGGGAGCCCCCTCCACACTCCCGTCCACACCCACCTGCTCCCTGTGCCCGTCACAGCACAGCACCCTGGCTACTGTGGGTCCCCCCAAGCCTCGAGATGGGGCATAGGGCCAGGATCCCTGCCTGGGGCTCCCAGGAGGGTGGACGGAGAGCTGAGGAGCTGGCCAGGCACAGAGGGGAAGCCCGAGCCCCCTGGGAGAGTGGAGGCTGGCTCTGGCCTCGAGGGCCCCCCTCTGCCTTCCTCTTGTTTGTGACCCCGCCCGTCCTCAGCGTCAGGGCAGCGCCCCTTCCTCCCTCCCCTCTCTCACACTCTGGTTCAGAACTCAGCTTCCCTCAGGGGAACAGGCTGCCTTGAGTTCAGAGCACCCCGGGTTCCAGATCCAGCGCCAGCGCCAGGGACATGGAGCGCCGCACCCTGTGCCCGCTCTGCCCCAGCCGCCTGGCTTGCATTGTGGGTTTTGAGTGCTTGAGTCTGCATTTGCAGGAGCAGTGCCCGGTGAGACGAGAAGGCAGTGTGAGCCCCCGTTGCCACTTTCTCATTATACACGAGAGGGGACCCCTGTGCTGATGTCTGAGGGCCGTTTGCATTTCTTTCTCTAGAGACGTTAGTTGCTGTCCCTTGCTCATTTTTCTGTCAGGTTTGGTCATTTTCTTCTTTGTTTCCCAGAGCTTTTTATATATGGGCAGGATTAGTACTTTGCCTTTGATGTAAGTTGCAAATGGTTTTCTTCAGTTTGATGTTTGTCTTTTGACCTTGCTTATGGTGTTTTTTGCTGTGTAACTTTTTTTGAGTGCTTCTTTGTTTTATCATTGTTGTTTAACATAGTCAAATTTCTCATCTTTTCCTTTTAGTGTGTCTGGATTTTAAGTCATACTTTGAAAGGCTTCCGTGTTCCCCATCATAAAGCAATTCACCCAGGTTTGCTTCCAGAGCCTGTACAATGGCGATTTCACCTTAGGTTTCAGGTCCTTTCAGAGCACAGTCTGGTAAACAGGGTCGAATTTTGTCTTTTTCCAAGTGACCATCCAATTTCCTAACATTTACTAAAGAGTCCCTCTCTCCCCCGGTGGTTTGAAATGCACGTTGAGCAGTTGTCAGACTTTCCTGTGGCATCAGGTCTGTTCCTAAATGTCCTCCCGTCTGTCTGCCCTTGCAGCAAAGCCGCGTTGTAACTCGGGGCTTCATTCTCTGTTTCAGTGTCTGTAGGGCCAGCCCTGCCCCACTGCTTGTCTGTTTTCTGGCGATTCTTCTTGTTTCGTTTTCATCATGAAGTTAGAGTCAGTCTGTCTACACTAAATGTACGCGTAGTTGGGGAGAGTTTACAAAGGTCGGGAGGCTGTTATCCTGTCCAGTCGCTTTGCCCTGGCTCGCCTTTGTGCCTCTGGGGAATGTCTTAACGTTAACCTCGTCTATCTCATATCAGCTTTCTCCTGGTTTAAAAAAGTACTTTTATTGAAGGATAACATGCAGAAAAGTGCAGAAATGAAATGTGAACAACTCGGTGAGTTCCTGTGAGTGCTCACGCCCGTGTGTCTGCAGTCGGCGAGGACCGTGGGGGCCCTCCCCCAGCCCCCAGGGCTCGTCCCCAGTTTGGCACATGTCTCATTAAATTTTTCGGTCAATGTTTGGGTAAATGGGGTCTTCTCTTCCACTGTATCTTCTACCAGGTCGCTACTGTTTCTATGGTAATCTTATGTCCTAGGACCTTACTGAATTTTTTGTTTGTGGTAGTTTTTCTTTCGATTCTCATGGATTTTTAGATATTCTTTCACATCCTTCGCAGCCAAATGCAGTTTTCCCTTTTCCACTCTTGTTCCTGGGCGTCTCATGGCTTCTGGAGTCTCATTACTTCTCACTGCTCCAGCTGCTGTCTCGGGGCCTGTACGGGGTGGTGGGGAGCGTGGCCTCCTGGCCTGGCCCTGCTGGGGTTCCTCCCAGTGCAGGGCTGCTGGGCCGTGGGCTCCCTCCAGTCCCACTGGGTAACAGATTGAGCCAGGCGCCTCTTCAGTGTCTCTCTGAGTTCAGACGTATTAACGGTGGGTCTCGGACCATCCGTGCCTTCTGGTCAGCTCCCCCTGATGGTGGTCTATTCTCTTTGTAATGGGCCACCAAGTTCTGTTGGTTAACGTTATATGTAGGATTTTTACATTGGTATTCATAACTGAGATGAGTTTTTTTGGTATAGTCTCTATCAAGTAACAGTGTTATACCTGTTGCGTGATTTTTTCGTCTCCTTTTCCCTGCTGCAGAGCAGTTTAAGTAGGCTTGAGGTCATCTGGTCTTGAGAGGGTTGGTGGAATTTGGCTGTTTGACCTCCTGCGTCTCTGCTGCTTTCTCTCTCTTCTGGAAATTAGGCCGTTTAGATTTCCATTTCTGTTGGAGTCAGTTTGGGTAAATTATATTTCCTACAGAGTTATCCATCCTAACCAGGTTTTCAAATTTGTCTACACAGAGTTGTAAAAACTGGTCTTTTTGTCCTTCTCTGATGACAATTACTTCTCTCTCATTATTTATTTGGCTTATTTGTGCCTTCTTTTTTTCTTGATAAGGTTACCTAGTGGTTTGTCTATTTTTTTTTCCAGATTTGCTTTTTAATTGATTGGTTGTATTATTTTCCCATTTTCTAAATCTTTAATTTTAATTTCTTAGTCTTTTGTTTGTTCTAATTCTAATTTTTCAGGTTAGATTTTTTAAATCGATTATTTTGTTTTTAAATTTATGTTGATATAAATATTTAAGCCACAGATGTCCTCTGAGCCCTACCTTAGCTGTATAACCTGTGGATTCTGACATATATTTGATATCCTTATTATCTAAAAATTCTGTGATCAAATACAGAGTTGGTTAGATTTTTTTAATTTCCTGATGGAAAGACCTCTGTTTTCCATCTTTTCCTCACTACGGATTCAGAGCACTCTGGCCAGAGAATGTTACTCATGCTGTTTCTGCTTTTAGGATTTATTGAAGTGTTTGTTGTGTGCTCACATGAGGTCAGAGTTTGTGGATATCCCATTTGCACTTGTGAAGAAGATAAGGCCTCTGTCCTTGGGCAGAGAATGTGACATGTGCGCCCATGAGGTCCCCCACGATGCTGTGACCACATCCCTGGCAGGGGCTGGGTCAGCTCTGCCTTCCTCCAGCTCCCTTCACCTGGCCAGGAGCATCTGCCTGGTGGGCGTTGCTGCCCGTCATCTGCTGCAGACTCGTACTGCAGCGGCGTGGCTGTGGCCTGTGCCCTTTGCGCCTGTCCTTCTTGCCCTGCCTTCTCCTGATGACAGCAGCCCCGGCTGTTTGTTTGCCCTTGGTGAACACGCCTTCTCCTGTGCCTCCTGCTGGTTTGGCCTTTCTCACTCTCCTCCCGTGGCGTAGCGTGGGGTTTGGTCTTTGAGCCATCCTCTAAGTCTCTCTCTACCATTAACAGCAGAATTAAACCCATTTCCATTGAGCTGACCCACGCAAGGTGGGTGTCCCGACCCCTGCACCCCGGGAGGGCCTCCCTGCGTGCTCTTCGGCTTTGATTTTCCCCTCCATCTTCACAAGGCTCAGGTGTCCGGTCTGGTTATTGTTTCATACACAGGCTGGTGGAGCCGATCTGATTCCTTTGCCACCTGCTCTGTCTGCTGCTGAGACCACGTTATTCCCCCTCGTTGTCCCAGAGTCTTTGCTCAGCACCTGTCACTTGCTCAGCACCTGTCACTCGCTCAGGCAGAGTCCCGCTCGCGCTGGCCTTGGTAGCGACAAGCAGAGACTGACGGCTCGCTCCGTCCCCGGGAGGGGAGCTCGAGGCTGCGCTGGCCTGCGAGGACAGCCCCTGCTCTGGGCAGAAGCAGCCCCAGTCGGTGGGCCGCCACTCCTGCTGCCAGAGCCCTTCAGGTCAAAGACCGTGACGCCCCGGGGCTGACCACGCCTGTGCTCCCCTCTGCTCCAGGCAGCATGTGCTGGGCACTGAGATGCCCTCCCCCTCCTGGCCCAGTCTCGGGTTCCTTCATTCCTAGCCCTGCTCTGAACCTGTCTCTAGAGTCATTGCTCAGCTTCCGGGGCCAGAGCCACCCCCTCACCTACCCTTTGGAGCAGACTTGTCAGTCAGCCGCCAGCATGGCCTCTTGCTTGAGCTGCCTCTCACTGGTCACTGTTCTGCATTGTGACATTCCCCTCTTTCACATACCGCCCTGACGCTGGGCATGTGGGGATGTCCACCTGGACTCAGGCCTGGCGGGCGGGGGACCCTTGTCCTGCGCAGCCTGCACCTGTCGGTACGCGCTCTCCCTCTCTCTTCCTCCTTCTCCAGGCCCATAGCCTCTTTTCCCTGAAGCAAGTAGTCTTGTCTGTCTGGGAGCTTGTGAAACTTTCTCTTGATCCTTAGAATTCGCCGATTTTCCCCGGCAGGGCCTGGGATCTGATCTGCCCGGCAGGGCTGCTGGGGAGTCTGTGAGGCCTGGAGGATAAGTGTGTTAGGGGAGCCGAGTGCCGGGTGACCACCGGCCACTCAGGCAGGGGCTCGGTGGCCAGGCTAGCAGCCCAGCATTCTCCAGGGGCAGCTCTTGGCCAAGCTGGGCTGGGCCTTCGCCTGACGGTCTCCCCCCTCATCTGCAATCCCAGGGCGGCAAGGAGTACCTGATGCGGGCCCACTTCGGCCTGCCCAGCGTGGAGGCAGAGGACAAGGAAGGCAAGCCCCCGATCAGCGTCAAGTTTGAGATCCCCTACTTCACTACCTCTGGCATCCAGGTACGTGCAGCCAGGGCGGCCGGGCCCACCACAGACGTGGACAGGCCCCCTGGGCCCCACAGGGACCCGGGTGGGGTCCAGGCTCAGGGTTGCAGGTGACAGACGTCAGTGCAGCCAGCTTAGACAGGGGTGCTAGCTGGCTTCTGGCAAGGCCTCCAGTGCTGCCCTGACTCTGCCCGTCTCCACACGTGGCCCAGCCCTGGCAGAAAGAGGCCCGCGTCGTCTGCTGAGAGCTGACCCTGTGCTTCTGCTCTCAGCTCAGGGACACACTTGGCCCCGAAGCTGGAGTCTGAGCCTCTAATGGCCACAGACTTGCCAGGATGGGGCGCATCCTCCTGGCACCTGCGTGTGAGGAAAGCCTGCAAGGGGAGCCCTGGGCCTCACCCGGGGACCTGCTCGGGGCGTGCCTGCGCACATCCTGCCTCTGCGCCACTTCTCGCAGAAGTGCTCCACCTCCCCCAGCCTCAGATGAGGCCCGTCGCCCCTCCTTCACCCCCTGCGGCCTGTGCTCGCTCACTACTCGTCACAGCCCTGGGGGAAGGATGGGGGGGGCGGGGAGGGGAGCAGGTGCGTGCTCAGGGCCCTGGTCCCTGTGTCCCAGGTGCGCTACCTGAAGATCATCGAGAAGAGTGGCTACCAGGCCCTGCCATGGGTCCGTTACATCACTCAGAACGGAGGTGCGTGTGGCCCGCCCTGGGGCGGGGGGCTCTGAGAGGGTCAGGGTGGTGCTCAGAGAGTGGCCCCAAGGGCAGGGCAGACACAGAGGCGTCCCTCCCTCGTCCTAGATTACCAGCTCCGGACCCAGTGAGCGGCCGCGGCAGCCACGCCCTCGCTGGCGCTGGGCTCCTGGCGGCAGCACCAGGAGGAAGCACCTGCCAAGCCTGCCACAAGGAGGGGGCGCCCTGGACACCAGCCACCCTCCCAGCCACGCCTGGGACCCTTCCTTCTCCAGGCACACCTGCTCTACTGTCGCCACTCTCGTCTCTGATGTCCTTTCTCCCACAAGAGGCTTGTCTGTGAGAAGTCTTGTCTCTTTGTCCCCTGAGTCAGTTTGGGGGAAAGGAAGTAAAATCTTCCCCTCCAGAGATCAAACACAGCCTTCTGTGCTGTCTAGCTCCCAGACACCAAAAAGATCAGAAACGCTCGCCAGACCGCTGGCTGCACGCGGCTCCTGCCCGGCTCGCAGGGCCACCGTTTTGTTCCCGTCCTGTTGGACGTTGTAGGTTTCTGGCTGTTCCTAGATGTCTTGTTCATTTGTTGATGTTTACGTGTACCTCTCTGTCCGTGCCCCTCGGCCCCTCGCCTGAAGTCCTCGGGCAGCACTTAGCGATGACAGGGCCTCCCACCTCCTCACTGGCCTCCCAGCGAGAACCAACACTGAGTCGCCCTCCCACCTCGGGCCGGAACCTGGCACTTTCGTCGGCAGCTGCAGCTTCTGGCTGCTTTTTTGGAGGTTCTTGGCCTGGACCCATGGGCTTCGAGGGAGGTGCCTTCCCAGGGGCCAGCCCGTGCCATGCCATACTGTCACTCAGCCACATCAGTGTTTGTCCCACCAAGGGAGGTGGGGTCCAGCGAGGGCCGCTGGCCTTGGAGGGTGGGGGCATGGGTCACCCACATCTGTGCTTGGTCACCCGCCTCCTTGTCTGTGTTCGTGTCGTGGTCACATTAAATTCCATCAGTTAAACATGAGGCCTGCCTTGCCTCTGATGCGCCGTGGTACTGGCTCTTCCTGAGTGACCAGGGACAGGCGTAGACCTCCCCTGGGTTCGTCACCAACCTGCCATGTGGCCTACATGCTGTCACCAGCTTCTGGTACCTCTGCCTCCCCAGGTGAAGACGGGAACAAGCCATCAGTGGGAGGAGGGAGCCAGTGCACTGGGTCACAGGGCTGCCCCTCCTGAGGGGCCACACAGAGGAGAGCACCCAGCAGATTCTTCCCCTCTCACCCTAGGTGACTGTCGCCACCCCCATCCCTCAAGTCACCAACAGCCTAGCCCTGGCCCTCCCTGACCCAGTGGCCTTCCTCAGATTCCGGTCCTCATACTGGCAGCCTCAGCATCCCCTTTGAGCTCACCAGAAATGCAGGTTCACAGGCCCACCTGCCAAGGCAGAATCTCTGGGGATGGGGCCCAGAAGACTGGTTGGGGCTCTGCTGGTAATGCGTACATGCCCTGGAGTTTGAGAACCACTGCCTGGGCCACAGAGGTCAGGTGGGCACCTGACCATGGTGAGCGCATGGGCAGGCGGGCCTCATCTTCCCACTGCAGGCAGCTGTACTCCCACCCCTGCCCCTCCAATGCTGAGGCCCTGCCTGCACCCCCCTACCTCTCAGGGCTCCCTCTTCCCTCTCCTGTATCACCAAGCTCCCCCCATAGGTCCAGTGGGCATCGGCCAAGTGGAATCTTGACCTTCCACCTGCATGAAGTAAGGGATGCTGCCCCAGCCCAGGGCTCATGCCAAAGCCCTTGGTGGGCCCCCTTGATGCCCCACCCTTCACAGCCACACCCACATCCACAGCAAGCCCTGAGGCCTCCCTCCAGAAAACCCTGGGTCCAGCCCCATTCTCCATCCTTACTGCCACCCCTGGAGGCCAAGCTTCAGCCTCCAGAGCCCATGGGATGGAGAGTGGTCACCCACAATGCAGAGCAGAGCCTCTTCCCAGCAATTTTTAGGACAGTGTTATCTGCAGGCCCCGCCATAAGCACACAGAAACTCGTAGAAGGAAGCCAAAATGCCCAGCTGAGCCCATCAGAAAGCCAGGGAGACCTGCACAAGCCTGAAACAGAGGAAGCAGGTGCCGAAGAATAGCAGGAGCCAGTGCCCGGCTCGCTCTGGGAGCAGGAGGTGTGGATTGGAGGGCCAGGTGGCAGAGGGGACTTTGGTCCTGTGGTGAGATGCCATGGGACCCTGCAGGAAGCTGCGATCCATGGAGGGTCACATATAGTCACAGAAGAGAGGTGGGCTGGAAAAGCTGCTTGCCCTCTGGCCCTGGGAGACAGCCCTGCTGACTCTTGGCTGAAGATCTGGTGGAGAGAAAGTCTCCCCTGAAGTCTTGCAACCACTAGTTTAGACTGAGACGTACACTGCCTCCATGGCCTGGAGACAGCCAAGCCAGGACTCACGAAACAGCACCTCTCTCCAAGGTCGTCGCACACAGAGCCCCCCTAAACACGAGTGCACATCCCGAAAATCACAAAACACATGGGCGAGAGTCAGCAGGGTCAGAGCCTCGAGACTTCCATGTGAGAGGATTGTCAGAGGCACAGGGGCTGGACCCAGGGTCTTCTGGAGGGAGGCCATCAGGGCTTGCTGTGGATGTGGGTGTGGTATGCAGTAAATACGCTCTCTGATTAAGGACAAAAGAAGGATTCCAGGTTAGAAAAGAGCAAAATGTTGTTAAGTTAGGACTCTTGCAACATCTAACAACACAAATAATCTGTGTACAAATCATATAGATAACTCTATAAATCAGTTAGAAAAAGAAAGAGCCTGACAGAAAAATACGTGAGCAAATGATCCTGAGAAGAAGCTCTACAAACAGCAAGTAAGTATAATGTCCAACCTCGTAATAATTAAGGAAATAAGGGAAGACCACAATTAGATGCTATTCCACACTCGTCAGATTGGCGGGGAAGAAACTAAAATGTCTGACAAAACCATTCAGAAGCGCACTTTGGAGATATTGTGGGTTGGGTTCCCACCACCGCAATAAGGCAAATGTCAAAATAAAGCGAGTCACGTGAATCTTTCAGTTTCCCAGTGCATGTAAAATTATTTTGACACTATACTGTAGTCTATTAAGCATGCAATAGCATTATGTCTAAAAAGCAAGGTACACACCTTACTTTAAAAACACTTTATTGCTGGAAGTCAGCATCACAGCGGAGTGAGGTCTTGCAGAAATTTCCCCACTCCAACATACAATGAAAAGAACATCCAGACTCCAACTCAACACAAAAAACATTGGAGAGATCCATGTGGCCATATGACAGAGGATGGAGAGGCTGGAGCTCCCCCTCAGAGCTGGAACAGAGTAAGAGAAATCTTTGCTTCCCCCGCTAAAGACTGCGCTTGGGACCATGGGAGGACCTGTGAGGGAAGGAGCGGGGGAGGGGACGTTCATTCACAGGAACATCAAGGACTCCCGAGGGCCCCTGCAGCCTAGAGGGAAGGCCTCTAACAGGGCAAAAGCTTTTGTGGGGAGTCACCTCATCAAACCAACACCCCAGAGAGCAGAGAGAGAAAACCCCAAGAGCATGCAGGAGAAAGCGCCCCTCCCCACCACCCGCCCACCACAGCTCCAGCCCCTGGGGGTCTCGGCTCAAGGCAGAGGGCTCAGAACACGCAGCTCTTGCCCGCCCCCACTCAGTGGCAATAGGTGGTAACTGCAACCTAATAATGCCAGGATGCAAAAGAACAGAACTCCCTCTAGCAATATCAAACACTATATTAGATCTCCAGACAAGAGAGAAAATGACAAGTACCCAGAAATCAGTCCTGAGGATACAGAAATATGTAATCTAAGCGACAAAGAATTCAAAACAGCTATCATCAAAAACTCAACGAGGTAAAAGAGAATGTGGAGAAACAATTCAACAAGTTCAGGAGCTACTTCACAAGCAAGATTGAAACTATAAAGAAGAATCAATCAGAAATATTAGAGATGAAAGATACAGTGGAAGAGATAAAACAAAATACGGATTCCCTGAATTCTTCAGTGGACATCGCAGAGGAGCGAATCAGCATAATCGAGGATAGACATGTTGAAATGTTCCAGATAGAAGAGGAGAGAGAACTAAGACTAAAAAGAAATGAAGAAAGTCTCCGAGAAATAGCTGACTCAGTTAGGAAATGCAACATAAGAATTATAGGTATTCAAGAAGGAGAAGAAAAGGAGAAGGGAGCAGAAAGCTTGTTCAAAGAAATAACAGAGAACTTCCCAAAACGAGGGAAGGAGCTGGAAATCTATGCAGAAGAAGCTGCCAGATCTCCTAAATATGTCAATGTAAAAAGACCGACTGCAAGGCATATAGTAGTGAACCTGGCAAAAGTGAATGACAAAGAAAGAATACTAAGGGCAGCAAGCTAGAAGAAAATAACCTACAAAGGAACCCCCATCAGGCTTTCAGCAGATTTCTCCATGGAAACCTTACAGGCTAGGAGAGACTGGAATGACATACTCAAATCATTGAAGGACAAAACCTTTCAGCCAAGAATACTTTATCCAGCAAAAATATCCTTCAGATATGATGGAGAAATAAAAACTTTCCTAGATAAACAAAAGCTAAGGGAGTTCGTAGCCACAAGACACCCCCTACAAGAAATCCTCAAGAAGGCCCTCATACCTGAAAAAAGGGGAGGAGAAAAGGGTTACAAAGCACGGAGTGAGCAGATAAATAGGTAGACAGAATCAGAGCAGGATAGCAAATACTCAAGTATAGGATTAAAGACAAAGGGAAGGAAAACACCAAAAATGAAGATAATCTTGTCATTTTAACCACAAACTCATAACACAAGATGGAATAAGATGTGAGAAAAACAACTTAGGAGGGGAAGAGGAAAGGGACTGAATCAGTATAGTCTAAGGAAATAAGAGGTCATCAGAAAAGGGATTATCCACAAGATCTTGAGTATAAACCTCAGGGTGACCACTAAACAAAAAAAGCAGAACAGAGACATGAATAGGAGAAACACCACATAAAAAACTACATAACTCAACTGGTAGACCAAAATACACAGGATGAGAAACAAAGGAAATTCAGGAGAACTGGAAAACGAGTGATAAAATGGCAGCATTAAGCCCTCATATATTGATAATCACCCTAAACATAAATGGATTGAATTCTCCAATAAAAAGACACAGACAGTCTCTGTTGAAACTACTAACTCTGCCATCGTATCTGGAAAGCTACCATACACAGTATGTAAATGCGTGAACATGGCTGTGTGCCAATAAAACCATTTATGGGTGCTGAAATTTGAATTTCATATAATTTTCACATGTCATGAAATATTCTTTTGATATTTTTTCCCAACAGCTTAAAAATGTAAAGGCCATTCTTAGCTTGGGGGCTGTACAAAAACAAGCGGTGGCCCAGGCAAAAGAATGAAGGTAGACCCTTGTCTCATGCCATACACAAAAATAAACTCAAAATGGATCAAGGACTTGATAAGCCCTGAAACCATAAAACTCCTGGAACATAATATAGGTAGTACACTTTGTGACATTGAACTTAAAAGGATCTTTTCAAATACCATGTCTTCTCAGACAAGGGAAACAAAATCAAAAATAAACAAGTGGGACTTCATCAGACTAAAGAGCTTCTGCAAGGCAAAAGAAACTAGAATCAAAACAAAGAGACAACCCACCAATTGGGAGAAAATATTTGCAAATCGTATATCCAATAAGAGGTTAATCTCCATAATATATAGAACTCACACAACTGAACAACAAAAAAACAGCCCAATCAAAAAGTGGCCAGAGGATCTGAACAGATATTTTTCCGCAGAAGATATGCAGATGGACAATAAACACATGAAAAGATGTTCAACATCACTAATCACCAGGGAAATGCAAATCAAAACTACACTAAGATACCACCTTACGCCTGTTAAAATGGCTATAATCACTAAGGCTAAAAACAACAAATGTTGGAGAGGGTGTGGAGAGAAGGGAACCCTCATACACT